TAAGGTATTGGCAATATTATTCTAAAATAACTTTCATGGTTGCCATGGTAACACAGTGTCACCATGCAAAATCTGTTGCTATGATTGGGTTAATGCTACTATCTTGAGGATAAACAATAAGATTCATGACTGGCACATATACATCCTTAGGACCTTGCAACACCGACAACATAAGAAAAATTGAGATTAATTGTTACTTTGCAGGGTAACCATGGAAACAACGTACTAGTTGTTTAAAGTGATATTTTTTTGCTGCTTTAGGAATTTACTAACCTTTTCATCGAGAAACTTTTTATTTGACTCACTTTGAATAGTACTTATCTGGCAGAACTAAAGTTGAATATCATATATTGATAAAGTTTGTTGAAAAATACAACACTGTTGCTATGGTTACCAAGAAGTGAAAATGTTCGATTTTGTTAATTTTATGTCAATATTAGACCCTTTGTGCCAGTTTTTTGCATCCAGTTAGAGATTGGGTGGTAGTCAAAATTGAAAGTCAGGTTACTTGTTCACATAATCATTAAAGTTTTGGGAATCTACATACAAAGGGTACGTATCCAAGGAAACAGAGTATTTTTCAGATTTTTGTGCATGTTTTTTCGCCTTATTTCCATAGCAACGCAATATTTAAAGAATTGAAATTGAATTTTTTGAAATGTGAAAATTAGGGTCACACCAACGCCTTTAAAAATTGATCATCAATTATATAAAAATATGCTTTTAAAAAAGATAGGATAAGATTAAAACACTAAGAGAGTAAATTCAAAATCCCTTCGAGGTATTAAAACCATGGCAACCATTGCCAACCTATAAGAAATATCATATTTCGTCCTTGGTATATGTTACAAGGATCTCTTGTCTATTATTTGCTTGCCTTTCAACCTATAATTGTTTTTCATTCTTAAGTGTATGACTTTATAAGATTAAATGAACAAAATTATTACTTTTGAATACTTTGTTTCCATAGTAACGTATGTTATAGTTGATTTACCAAACATGTTTGTCATGCATTTAAGACATCAGGCCTTCAACTTTCAGAAACAGTCATTGCCACTTGTTTGCTTTGCTGCAAACATTAACTGTGGGACTCTGAACATGTTGAAAAATGCCATTTTTCAAACTTTAGGACATGTTGCTATGGTAACCATGACACATAGCAACCCATTTTTGCCTGATTTGAGTTTATGGTATCAAAGACTTTTATCATAGAGAGTTTGGAGAAATTCTGAGACTTTGCGTGCCACAGCTCCTATATAAAAGTTCAAGTCATTACAGAGAATGGCTCTTAAAATGTCATTGGAACCCTTAGCCAGGAGTTTGGTTTATTATTTACAATACACCCTATGAATGAACCACCCCTGTAACACTTAGACAACTAACATGAATTTTCTCATAAATATTGGGTTAGTCCATACTACCTTTGACAACTAATATGAGTTTTCTTCATAATAACTGGCTGAGTTGAAACTCAAGGAATGATTTCAACATCCCTGTCATTCATACCTTAATTTTTGTTAAAGTCATTTTAAATTTTATTTTTAATTTCCATTTGATTATATATTAGGTATTTTATTGTATTTTATGGTGTTGATTGTGCTGGTGATATTGTGATTCGTCCATTCATTTCACTGTCAGTTAAGAGACACGTGATTTAATATATATATTGTTGTTCTCATTCTCGTTAATGTAAGACCGCGGAACATTAACTGACAAGATTGGAAATAAACTGTTCACGTCATATACATGCGTGAAAAGTCAAAATATGTAAGAATACGTAATGAAGCGGTCGACCTGTTATCATTTTCTTTAAAATGTACATTGTACAGAATTTCAATTTATTCTGAATTGATATTGTTTTCGGGATCTATTATTTAAAGTTATTTATGTGGATTGAAATGAATTTCAAACTCGAATTTCAATCCCATGTTTTCTCAGACGTCCGTGCCCAACCTACTAGGCTGATGTAAAAGACGTAAGCTATTTCCAATTTTTTAATGTTCCGCGGTCTTGTATGTAATTTGTGTGCAGTTGTAATGTTTATAAGTACAAAATCTTCCCCCTTTGTCAATGACTCAGACTCTATAGGCTAGATATGTAGTAGACAAAATGCATTTGATGGGGAAAAATATGGATAGATTTGGTCTAAAGAGGAAAAAAGTTGAGGTGAAATAGAAGGCTGTAGCGATTTAATTTATTGATTTTAAATTTGATGGCAATATTTCGATCGATCAAACATATGAAAGTTTTCACATCGTGTAAGAGAATTTAATTTGAAAGTTAGAATTCACGTATATTATGCACTTAACATTGTAAATACACAATATGTATGGTTTTTTGAAAATATTTTATTCTATTTTGAAGAATTCAAGTTCGGACGCAATGACTCAATTTGATCTTGAGTCGGACAGTAAATTTTTGCAGTTTGATGCTAAGTCGGATACTGTCCGAGTTTTTATAAAGCTTGTCACATAAATAATTTCTTGAATATTATAAATATTATAAATTAAGTCAAATATTCGAATCTCTGTTAATAAAGATTAATCAATAATTTTTAAAATTAATATTTAAAATCAACAAAATTAATTCAAGGCAGGAATTAAGGAGTAGGTGTGAACGTCTGGTGGAAATTGTATAAAGCGTATCGTATACTTTCAAATTAAAATGTGATTTTGATTTTAAAAAATGTAGCTAAAAAGAAATATTTCAAATCTCTCGGGGACTAAAAAACGTGATTGTTGGAAATTTCTGTTAATTGTTAGCATTCGACCGGGGAGGGGGGGGGGGTTGAAGGGCTCCAAAGATGCCGATGCTTCATTACTGTAAATGGGAACCCAACAAAACCCAGTGGATGAATGTGGCGATTTACACTGCAGACCTTGAGTGCAGAAGAGTATCCAGCAGCTTTCAGATATTTCGATAACGGATCTTCAACCCCCACCCCCACCCCCCCCACCCCCCCAAAAAAAAAACATAGTCGAACTTGCTGCGGTTAGGGAGCAGAAGTGCACATATAAAAGAAAGACTTAGGCAGGAATTCGTACAAACGTAACTGACACATGTTTTGTCTACTTATGAGACAATCTGCTCCAAGACTTGAAATGAAATATTCCATTCAGCGGAAACAGTGTGACTATTAGCGTCTTAATGATTTTGAATCGTAAAATGAAATGTAGAGTATTTATGAGTTTAAAATTTGTTACATTCATACATGATTGTGTTCTTAATCTAATTATTTTTAAAAAGCTAAATATATATCAGTTAATTATGAGACCCTCTCTCTCTCTCTCTCTCTCATTAAATTAACGTTTTATGATGTCATCATGATGATACATAAATATAAAAGAAAATGGATGCATCTAGCTGCAGGAATGTACCTTAATTTTCAGTCAAGAGGATGTTTTGGTCGACTTACCACAACAGGACAGACTTAATGTGTAACCGTTCTCAAATCTTAAATCTATTAAATGAATAATTAAATCAAATTGACAATGTACCTTATTTCAGATGTTGAAAAAATATATGAAATATACGAGATCATAGCCTAAAAATACCAATTTACTGCCGTACGATTGACTTATCTGGTCATATTTTAGCAAATCAAAACACGATATCAAAATAAAAAAAAAATCATTCCTACATCACAGAAACACGATGTCATTAGAATGCTAAAATATAATTTGAAGGATCAATGATTATTTTATTTTTCACATATACCTGCTGTATCCATATCAAATTCATGCGGCCAAATTCTCTTGGCAAGCAAAAAAAAATAATAAAAAAAAATAAATAAATAAAGAGAAGAGGTGAGACTGCCGAAACTCGTTAATGGGGGGAGGTCAGATTATTTATTTTCTTCCCAGTGAAAGAAAGATTGTTTATTGCCATAATCCCCGTCATAATCAAAGTAGGGATACTTTAAATATTGTACAGAAATTACACAAAGGAGTTAGGGGCAGGAAGGGGGGGGGGGTCCTCTCCCCTATAGCTTCTGGCATGTATTCTTTTAAGAAACTTGGCGTTTTACCTTACATTACCGTACAAAGCGTAACTCTAAGTTAACAATGACACAAAAGTTCAATGTGCACAATAAATAGTTTCACAAGTGACAATTTAGATAGTAAATCAAGTCTATTTAATCATAAAAACGGTATGAAATATCAAAATACAAATTGCTTTGGGATCAATTATTATCAATCACTTTTCACTACTCGTGGGTCAAAATGGCGCTTTGTATAAAAACCACACTAGCAATGCTTGTACAAAATGTTCTAAATACAGAGTAATCGCTAAAGTTTGTTTGTTTGTTTGTATGTTGTTTAACGTCCCTCTCGAGAATTTTTCACTCGCATGGAGACGCCACCACTTGCCGGTGGAGAGCTGCAAATTTTGTCCTATACTCGGCACTTGCGGAAATTGAGCACCAAGTTTATTTACATATTTTAAGTGAAATTTACTATATTGAGATCAAGTAGTGAATTAAATAAATGTATGGTTGTTATTCATATTACATACTACTAGTCAACTGGTTGACAATATTGAATGTTCTAGTCTACATATATATACTAAAGGTCATATTAGTGCACGTTTGTGTGCTAAATGTAATTTTAGATTTTCTTGTTATGTAATCACTGTATTTGTTTTACAGTTCTTACGTTGAGGATATTATAAAATCATCACCAGTATATTTGAGCTTTATCAATGACCAAGCCTGCTACAAATTTGAGGCCTCGACCCAGGGGTCATAATGTAAATCATATACGGTACCATGCAATTTTGATGTACCAGATGCGCATTTCGATAAATTATCTCTTCAGTGATGCTAAGGCCGAAAGGTTGGAAATCCAAAATACTGAAATAAAAAAGTGCCAAAGACTGCTTTTTCACAACTTGAATTAATTCTGAATTCTGTAGGACTTCGGAGAGTGGGTAACTTAAAGTATGCATAATTGTCCACAGTGTAAATTTTCTATATATTTTTATTTAATATAAAGGTGGTTAAATACTTTACAGACATTTCTTTTTTGTTTATAAACAAAAAGAAAACTGAATTATAGAAAGAATCAGCATACATACACATGTTACTAAACAATGCCAGTCTTTTCATTTATTTTGAGAAAATAAATCCTCTGCTAACTGAATTAGAGAATGTTCCTTCAGGAGGGAATGAACTTTTTCCATGGAAATTCCAGACTCAATCAGCAGCTCAGGATGAGCCCCTATACACCTGCTGTCGTTAAAGTATAGTTTTGGATATCCCCTCAAAAGCATTCCTATCACTTGGGGTTTTTCTTTGATGACGATAAGTGGAGAACTTGAGGCACCATGAACAATATTCATAGGGCTATGGAATAAAATGTGATCGGGGGAGAGAACACAAGTGGCATAGTCCAACTCCACTTGTTCCCTTTCATAACCAAGACCTGTAAAGAAGTCAATGCCCCTGTTCACTATGTCAGTTAATTCTGCCTGATCCTCGATGATTTGACATCCGGGGACATGTTGTAATTTAATTCCTTCTGAATTTCCAACGAGATGAAATTTTACTCCAGGAATGTTCGTATCCTTCAGTATAAGAGGGGGTGGTAAATTGTTCTCCTGTGACAATTCTAAGATCACAATGTCATGGTGTTGGGATGCAAATGGTATATCATATGAAAAGTTGAAAACATTTTCCAAAAATGATTTGCCATCCAAAAATCCAAATTTGATTAAAGCAGATCGTTCAACCATTTCCTCTGCTATTTTTTTCATGTTTTCTACAAACAGAAATTAAAAAAAATAATACAATTATAAATTACGTTTTCTAACACAATTTCAGTTTTTATAGGTATTTCTACCCCTTAGATTATTTCGGAAAATTCATCCTGCACAAAAGTTTTCATAAATCAAAATTTGCTAGTTACATGTACGTTTTACTCCAAAGTCTACAATCCACGACACAGATTTTATAAGATATAAAAATGTAGTGCATGTGCCAATTTCGCACCTATACATGTTTAAGTGCAGAGATAGTGAAATGCACTAGTTTTACGGTTAGTGATTTATATAAAAGAGCAGAACCTTTTTTATCAGTACATTATGCTCATAAAGAAATATTCTATACAAAATTAGTTAGGGTTTTAAGAGGTTAGAGTCTATATGGAAAATTATCCTTGTACTTATCCATTCCTTAAAAGCAAGGTACATCTTCTTACGAGCTTTTAAGGAATAGAATGGAACTCAGCCATTATCTCCTCTACAATTATTCTTCAAAGGTTTTACTGCATTTTATTGAGTGGCTAAATTAATTAAGAATTGGATAGAGATTTTACATATGGCAGAACGACATATAAAAATTAGACGTGCATTTATCAGAAAAGTACACAAACGGTTTTGAAAGGTAATGTAAAGTGATATCCTTACCCTGTTTTCTGGGGTCTAGCGATGATATGAGGTTAGAAAGATTCCAACTGCCATCCACTGGCAAATTCTCTGCAGTCCACCTCAATGGACGTCTTTCTTCATTATTCAATCTGTTATATACTTGCTTCCAAAATGGAACTAGGGTGAAAAATTAGTGTTTTTTAATCATTTAACCATTGAAAGATTATGCGCATTTCAAAATCCATAACCAACTAATGCAACAAGAAAATTAACAGTCAGGGAGAGCCCCACGAAGTGACAGTTGTACTTGGTGATTAGAACATAATACAGTACATAACTAACATAAGGTAGGCGACATGGAACAATTACTTGTAAACATGTATTAAAATTATTAATATTTTTAACATTGGACATACATGTAGACATGCAAAACGAGAGACAAAAACTACAAGATAATACTAGATGCTGTCATAAGACAGTAATACCGGCACTAAGGTGTTTGCCTCTAAATGCACACCCCTTCATATTGAGATAACCAAGGAAAAAGCCAAAATAATTCTATAATTTACACAGAACATGTATTCGTCAAATCGAGCATAAAATGCTCAGGTGACCATGTGACCCATGAGCCTCTTATACGCATTCCATATACTTAATTCATTACCAGTCTGAAATTACAGAATTTAATCAATGATGTAAATTATATAATGAGGTTTTGATAAAAGGGGGGGGTTATAAATTTTTGGCCCATAATTGGAACTTTTTACATTTATTTTTTCAACAACAAATAAAGTTAAATTAATGCAAAGTGTTTTTGATGAACTTAGATGCCAACTTTCAGAATTGAACAAAACGTGCAAATTTTTTTCAGTATTTGGGTAGGCAAAAACCTGCTCAAAAAACCACACCCAATCAATTTTGTCCCCCCCCCCCCCCAAACACACAATTTGCCTGTTTTTGGAAATAGCATTAGATAGCAATTATAGTTATGTTAAAACATTGTTTGTAATGATGATTTAAAATTTGTCCTTGTACTATACATGTGTACACCTTTTTGAAAATTTCTACATCACATTGGACTTTCGTCACCCTATTAGTACTAGTTTTACCATTATCATTTAAATTGCACATGGTGTACACATAATTACTTAGGCCTATATTAATAATTAATTCATTGTGTGTTTTAATTGGATCATATTTCATGAAGTTGACAGTACCTATGACAGTCGGTAAGTACAAGTTTAGGTATAGATTGGGATAAAATAATCTGAATTGCAAATGATTAAGTTAAAGTTTAAAAAGGATCAAATATCATCAGATGCCAAAACAGACGAATTTCACATTCTGAAGAGATATAGAGATAACTCCGGTTGTCGACATCATATACATTTCTTAGTCCTTTGTAAGTTACAGGCACAGATCAAGGATTCTTTCCAGGGGGTAGGTCCACCCCAGTCAAAAAAAATTTCCAACCCAGAATTTCCTGAGAAGCCCCCCCCCCCCCCCAAAAAAAAAGGGAAAAAAAAACAAAAACATAAAATCCTCTGCCAACAGGTAGCCTAAAAAGTCCCATTTCGTGGTGGTGATGCTGGGGTCCATGTTTTCTGGGGATGGGTTCCAAAGTCATTTTTTATTTGCTTCAGCATATACTTTAAATACCTCTGCAAATTCTGGGGGGGAGGGGTCCGATCTCCCTAGCCACTCCCTGTCCCTGAAATGACAAATGATCATGTGACTCAAAAATAGTTGAAAGCTTTTCCATTTGACCATACATAATTTTGTTTCTTGTGTTATTATGCACGTCTAATGGTATAAGCGTTATGAACCCCTGAAAGCAATTCCACTCTCTTGAACTGGAAATGTTCACAGTATTACCTGCATCAAATTTAAAAGTGCATCAATGATAATTTAGATTGCTTGACATTCCATTCATGACTTTGGGTCAGCCCATCCTCCTAGAATTAGGAATGAAAATCGTTCAGAGAGATGCAGCATTAAACTATTTTTATATGTTCACATTTTTTATGTCAAAACAAAGTTTGCATGCATGAACAAAAGGGGGTCTGTGAAGGGGAAGGGGCAAGGGGAAGGATTAATCTCTGCAAGTCTTTTTTATTGAAAACTCCTTAATTGAATGTTTACCTCACTTTTGACTTGTCATCATTACTTTCTAATTTGATTTGTGTGTACAATGCAATGGATAATAAATAAATAAATTTTTAAAAATAGTCTAATTATCAGTATTTATCAGAAACAATTGAAATTATAACTAACAACAGTAATGATAACAGTAAATATCAGAATTTAATAGCAAAAACAGCGCATTATCAGTAATTATCTATATTTATCAGTAAAATTTGGGATTCTCACCACTTTTTTCGTCCAGTAGTAAGTTGTACAAATTAGTAGTGTCTTGATTCTATATCTCAAATTTACACAAAGAAAAAATGATTTAGTCAAAAAGAAAATGAAAAAAAAGCTGTAAAATGAAGAAAAATTATCCAATCATGATGAAATTACCAGCTGCACATCTTTATATGGTCTATAATGAGTATACAGATTTTCAGACAAATCCATGCAATAGTCTCCGAGAACAATTAAGTGCAGAAAAAAATCATGTCTACAAACAGACGGACTCTACTTCGTTTGCGGGGGGTGGGGTGGGGGTGGGGGTAAAAACCAGAAGTTTCTGATGAGATTGTAGCTCTACTGGTTTGTACTTATAACAAAGGAAAAGAAAAGTAGCACTTGGACTGAAACTTTGCAATAAATATAGTAATGATCCTTGGCTTAGTTCCTTTTCGTAGCGAAATTTAATGCAATCAGATTAAAACTGTACAAAAAATAACCTTTTAACAGATTTTTTTCCTGAAAATTTTGATTTTAGTAACCATGGCAATATTCATCAAAATAAAAAAAATGATAAAGAAACCTGTGTATCTCAGTGTAATCTATTTGCATGCCAAATAACAATAAAGCAAAGTTATAGAAGGAGAAGTATTTTGAATGTATTTCACAGAAATTTGTATTCATAGTAACCGTGGCAACACTGTTCACGAAAATCAAAAACTGATGCACTGAATTATGTATCTTAGTGATGCCTACTTGTGTGCCAAGTTATATTGAAATCAAACCAAAACAACAGAAGGAGTAGTATTTTGAATATATTTCACAGACATTTGTATTTTTAGTAATCATTGCAACATCGTTCATCAAAATAATAAAAAAAAAAAGATGCACTAAATCATGTATCTTAGTGTAGTTTACTTTTGTGCCAAGTTACTTTACGTGTCCATATATTGGCGTATTCAGAATTTAGCGCAATCACTGGGTATGGAGTTGTTGGCGAAATCATGAATTAGCTCTACCATGTCCGTGCCGTATATTGTATTTATAAATGATTTCTCAGCGGTATTCATAAATTAGCACATCGTTGTCTGCGCCAAAGCCGCTAAAATATGAAGCCCGCTTTTTTAAGTAGACATACAGTATATTAAAATCAAACCAAAACTATAGGAGGAGTAGCGTTTTAAAGGAATTCCACAGAAATTTCTATTTTAGTAACCATGGCAACACCATTCGACAAAATCAAAAACAGATGCACTATGATATGTATCTTTGTGTAGTATACTTGTGTGGCAAGTTATATTGAAATTAAACCAAATGAAGAGGTGTAGCATTTTGAAAAATTGTTTACACACACACAGACAGGCAGACGACGGACACCTTACTATCGCATAAGCTCTTCTGGCTCCAGGATCATGAAACATCTTAAGCTTAAGTCAAAATTTTTATGTTGTATCAAAATTTTATAGAAGTCAAACAGACCAAATTTAAAATATTTTTCAATATTGCTTCACAAAAGTGCTGTTATCTGCAAATTTAGAAATTAATTCAATAATTAATAAACATTTTACAGCCGATTGAAAATTTGACTTAAGTCTAAGTCTGTTTCATGATCTTGGTGCCTGGTCTCTGACAAGAAAAGCTAATAAAGTGGGTTCCATTAAAAGTATGAGCCTTTACCAAGAAGATCCTCCATAACATGGAATGCGGTCATGACATATTTGCTTCCGACTCTGAACCCTGTCGCGTTGCTCCTATTTTTAGCTGTGATTTCTATGCAGCCTATCCGTTTGTCCAGTTGGTGGTCAACAATAACCTTGCCATCTTGTATAGTTTTCCAGCGTTGCTCACCATGCTGCATACTTGCTGTTAATAGGAAGTTCAATGCATTCAGTCTGATTAAAATTAGATCTTTTATTCACTCTGGAATTCTGAAACACAAACTTGCAGCGACACAAAATTGCAATTGATTCTTGATTCGCTCCTTGATTTCGGAGCGTTTTCTGTAAACTGTACGTAACTAGAAAACTGACAGTTGAACAGGGTGCCCCAGAGTATTACACGTAATCAGGAGTAAATTCATGTATTTTTGTTTGAGTGTTTGGTTTAAACAAACTATAAAATCAACTTTTAACAACTAAACAGAATAAATCATTTACAATGTGATGCTTGGCAAAATTAAGTCGGAGATTTGTCGTGTAAATATAAATAGGTTAGGAAGAGTCTTTTAATCAGTAATGTACTAATAATGAAAGACATTGTACATGCAGTAAAATCAACTAATTAGAACTGGCTTATAAGGAAATCTCGGTTATAATGACAATTTTCTGAAATCCATTGGAGACTTTTCATCATGTTTCTTATATATCTTTGTAAAGAAACTTGGTTATAAGGAAGTAATTTTGAATTCCTTATAATGGAGGTTTACCGTACTATAATACTGTATTTTACTGTATATGTATTACATTTGGTGTGTACTATATTTGGTGGAAAATATGTTGACTGAAGAAATTTAGCAATGTTGTTGATTCATGGGAAGCTATTTTCTGTCAACGGCACTAAAATAATATGAAATAGTTGGCTTTTAATATAAATTAATGCTTATCAAGTAAAGATGTGCCTTACTTGGTTGTTCGATAGCGTTTTTATGAAGAGATCTGAAGGAAACAAAATGTACTCCTTTTCCTCCTAATTTCAAATGACCAATAAAAACTGTTGGTTTTAGTGCTGTTTCATCGGTGTAATTAAACTGAATTTCATTGAGTCTGAAACTGTTCATTCCCACAGATAGCACAGTAACAGGGACATTGCACATCTGGGCTAGTCCCATGATCTCCAGACTACCTCCCCACTCTCCATCTTGTATCTTTTTCAGGAATCTCTGCCACCTTAGTTCCTTCTGATCTTCCTCTTTTTCCACAGTCTCTATTGCAATGTCTTCTGGTTCAAGAATCCCATGATCTGGATCTAATGGAAAACACAGGAAGTCCTTGTATGGGATGCCATTAGGAGTGATTGGATTGAATTCAAGATATTTGACTAGCTGTCTTCTGAGTTCTGTTGGATGATCTGGCAGCCGATATGTGTGAACACCCTGTCTAAAAGCATGGTAGAGACAATGCCCATCTCCCCTTACATCCAAAACTTTCAGCTTGTACTTGGACTTTCTTGCTAGCACATCTAAATTACTAAGCTCCCTTTCAAGATTTGTGACAGGGTTCTGAAAAAAAGCCCAGAATTTAAATATATCAAGTTCTAAAGCTACTGCTATTCTTAACATCACATCTCAGAACACTTTCGTGATGCACAGGATGATGTTCAACGCTTCACTTGGATGAGATGTCTGTAGTAAAACGTATCAACATTTATGCCCTATATCCATCATTTTAATATGATTTGCGGGATAAAGTACAAGTATATGCCTAGTAAAGGATGGTATCATGATTTGGAAGTAGAAAAAAGGTAATAAAAGATCACTGAGTTCACCTCCACGAACATTATAAATAAGAAAGGAAAATCTCACTTCATATTTTTTTTCTAGTTGGTGTGCATCCCGAAATCAATATACACATGTATATGCATGTTTGATAAAGTAGGATTTATAGTCACTTGGAATTGGATCTGCTCCAAGGACTTTAAGATGTTCACTTTTCAAGAAAATGTCTTTTAGTTCCAACATCATCAAGTTTTATCATTACATGTCACATAACTACAGAGCTTCTCAAAAAAAAAAAACAAAAAAACAAAAAAAAACCATTGCCCTGGTCACTCATCTGCAGCTGGAAAATGTAGGCCAGATTAAGCATCCAAAGCTGGCCTGGAAGTGTCCATCTCTAGATACTTATCCCTACTAATTATGTTAAAGTGTTGCTAAAATTCACTCTTCTGGAAAATAAAGTTAAGATCTAGCATCCGAATCAGATTGGGAAGTGTAAATCCCTAGATGCATCATCCATGCAAGTTTGGCCCAGGTAGGGCTTATAGTAAGTTGGAAATGGATCTACTCCAAAAACTTTAACCTGGTCACTCATGTGGAAAATGTAGATCAGATACAGCATCCGAAGCAAGTCTGGTAGTGTCCATCCCTAAATGCATCATCCATGCCAGTTTGGTCTAGGTAGGCTAATACTTACTTGGGAATGGATTTGCTACAAAACTTTTACCGGGACGCCGACGCAGACGCCGAGGGTATAGCGTAAGATTGTCTCTTTTTTCGGCGAGGTGAACCAAAAAAAGGGAGTGGTTTTTATCGTGTGGAAATTACAATAAAGAAACTCTTTAATTTTATACCATATGTTACATTTTCTTCAGTGTACATGCTAGGTTTAGGGAAAATCTACCATCTGGGTCGTTTATATATTAATGGTCGCTTCAAAATACAGGTACATTTATGGTAACTTTAGAATAACAAGGGAAGGTGGTGCTAATATTTCGCTTTTCAAAGTAAATTATCCAGTTACTATATCAAGGGATTTTTTGCTCAAATAATAATATTTGACTAGTAATACTACATATTTCACAATATACTCGTATGAAAGAAACACAAAATCTTCTATCTGCTTCCCAAAGTGGGCATCTCAAAATGTCAAAATTAACGAACTTTTTCTGTTTTATAGAGTACAACAAAATGTGACAGATACTTAGGATTATACAAAAAAATAACAAAAAATAATTGTGAGATTCTCAAATTCCTTAGTTTTTTTTAAATTTCAAGAGCATATCTTTAATACTTTTTCTTTTCAACATTTTTTTTATCACTCCCTTTTAAAGAACTTCAGTTAATCATAATGTCACAAACATACCATTCTGTCGTCCATCTAACTATCAGTTGAAAAATCGTTTAAAAATCAGTTATTTATACATAATTCATAAAATTTAACAGATTAAGAAATCACAGGTTAAAAAATCTAATTACATTTTAAATAATGTAATTAGATTTTTTAACCTGTGATTTCTTTACCTGTTAAATTTTATGAATTATGAAAAAATATTTGCCTTTAAAGAGTAAATTCGTTTGATTTTTCTATGCTAGGTAATGTATTGCACAGTGCGAAATCCATGCGTTCCCCTTTAAACAATATTGGTATGAAAAATTACTGCTACTTTAGTTCTCTGAAGATAATGATAAGTATAGCTTACAGTGGGTTCAACAAGAGGTGTGTCGCTGCTACAGGACGAATCATCTTCAGAATATTCCTCCTAAAAATGCATCATCAATCTCTTTTAAAACTTAATGGCTAAACTGCTTTTAAAACAGTCAAATTTTTTCCCAATAATTCTTAATCAGGAATATATATATATATATATATATATATATATATATATATATATATATATATATATATATATATATATATATATATATATATATATATATTTATATATATTTATATATATATATACTTAATGGTTGTGCTAATTTACAATTAATTATACATACCTTTTTCCCTTGTCTCTTTGATTTTTTCTTTCTCTAAAAATATTTATTAATGATCATTCCTAGCTTTATGCCGTAAACCAGCTATTATTCGCGTAACATTTAATTGTGATTTGTCAATTTGAAACCTATCTACAACTAATTTTCGTGATTGAGGAATTATTCTGCATAAATACACGACGAAATAAATATTTTTCACGAATAATGTAAATCTAATACGGTACCAATTTTGATGCACATGCCGAAACGGTGGAAATCCGAAATATTTTGATAAAAAAAAAAACTTTGAAGAGCTGAAAAAGGGGGTGCCAAAGACAGGAGCCATATATGAAAAAAAAGACAGGAGCCAAATATGAGAAAAAGAAGGTCGCAAAACTCCATGCGAGTAAAAGTTGTTTTACACTGTATGATGTTACATGTATGCAGAAATACTCTAAAAGGTAATGCAAAATTATATAATATACTTGTATATCATACAGTGTCTTGCAATTTACCCCCTTTTAAAAGTGCTATATGCAGTCAAAGCATATTAAAGTATCCCCCATAATAAATAAATATTGAGAATCTCTAGCAATATACAGGAGTGTGCTTAGTGTACAGACGAAATAAAACAATATTCAAAAATAGTCTTCAGGCAGTTATAAATCTTAATCAAGCATAAATGCGCATGTATGGAGAGAGAAAGGACGTTTATCTACTGTGTAGAGCAAATTTGATTAATTTTGGATCGTTAACTATGTTTTGTGTATAAATTTGGTGAAATTTTGTGTGAATTGTGAACATTGTTACTCCAAGATTGTTTTTTTTCCGCGATGAGTTAAATGTCCAAGTCAGAAAAACGTCGTCGGCAGTCGTACGATGGGCAGACATCAAAACCACAGGTAAAGAAAATGGCAAGTTCGACTGGGAATCTAGAAAACTCAGAGTTAGATTTCCCGGACCGGATAATCATCTGACAGGCTATCGACAATCTACAGAAAGGTCAGTTACAGTTACAAAAGTCTTTGGATAGTAAATTGGACAAGTTCCGAATTGAATTTCTATCAAGCATTGCGAGAAACTCAAATCTATAAAAAGTGATATCTACCTTGAACTTGGTAATCAACAAAGACAAATCGATGTCCTGTCACAGTCCATCGATCCATTCTTGAGCGACTAGATAAAGTTGAGAAAATAGAACGACCGGTCTCAGAAAATAGTTCATCCTAAATTGCTTGCACAGGTAATGCATTTAACACAGACCCGCTAACTGACCCAGAGGTTTCAATAATTGCGACCAATGTTGAGCAAGGGGCAAATGAAAATGTTCTCGAAATCGCCAATGATCTGATAAGATGTCTTTATGATTCAGTAAATATAGTAGCAGTGGCTCGTATAAAAAAGTAGAAAGTTTGAAAAGCCAGGAATTATTTAGATAACTTTTTCAAATTTGGAAGAGAAAAAAAAAATTGCGAAAAAAAAGCATAATCTCAGATTGATAGAAAAACACAAAAAAGGTTTATCTTCAAGGTAGCTGATCACATACTTAAGAATCTTGGAATTAAATGCCTGCACTTTGTTAAATGAACTCCCGGATGGAAAACAGTACCGAATTACTGCCAGTGGTCGTATTGTCAAGAAAACGCAGACGAAGGAAAATGTATCGCATCAAGTGCAAAACAAAAACAAAACACGTGGTGGAAGATGACTATGGATAGGAAGCAGCCTATTGAACACACTATCAAATTTGGTCACATCAATGTAGGTGGGTGGACGGTAAACAATCATGATTTAAGGGTGTCTCTTATCGAACACATAAATGCGGACATAATAAGCAATAATGAAACTCATCTCAAAGATAATGAAAAATTGGACTGGAGTGATCAGGGATTTGAATGGTTTGGATACAATAGAAATTCTAAGCACATTCGTGCACCAAAAACATTTTAAGGAGTAGATATTTTAGTTAGGAAAACAACATTACAGCATTTTGTGGTCCGTGTTAATGACAAGACATAATGACAATGACAAGACATGTGAAGGTATCTTAGGGTTGGAATTTAAACACAAAGAATCCTATATGCTTTTTGCTGTATACTCGTGTTACCTTCCCTTAGAGAATTCTAATTGGGGGCGTGATGCAGAAAAGTTCTATTCGCATATTTTGGCGCAGTTCTATCTGAATTATGACATGGATGCCATATATGTACTCAGAGATTTAAATTCACGAATTGAACATGCTTAAGATTTTAGCTGCAATTCGACAATATTCGCGACAGGCGTGTAATTGATAATGTGTGCAACAAACATGGAAACTCATTCGTAGAATTCCTAAATGATACTAAATTCTGTGTCTTAAATGGACGATTTGGAGAGAAAAACCGGTTCATGTCCATCTCAACCAGAGGGAAAGCGGTTGTTGATTATGCATGTATACCTCATGATATATTACCACATTGTTCGGAATTCCAAATAGTGTCAGGCGGAAGTATTACAGAAGAAAAAGGCTTACAATCCTCTCTAAGAACTAAATGTAAATTTCCAGATCATGCATTTTTGGTGTTTGACAGGTTTGAAACAAATAATATACATGCACAAACACATCCTTTGGATAAAAAGACAGAGAACAACTCGATTGATAATACAGGAAACATTTTCATCTAAGAAGCATTCCCCTGACTTTATGTGTTCGAACCTCACCAGAGTACTCCCAATAGACCGGACACAATACATAGCGCTCCGGATTTCTTTCTTTACAACTGTTTATAAACATCAAATTAAAAATGTAACACTGTAAATATTTAGTATTTGGTAGTTTAGTAGTAGTGCTAATTGTTTTTGTTTCTCTGTTTCCTTTGTTTTATATGACATATTAACCTTTCTCTTTGTCCTGAGGAAGAGACAGGTCGTCCCGTAAAATTGGCAATTTTTATTGTTCGCGTCGTTGGTCATTTTTGTGCTTTATATAAACTTCCATCCGTGACCTAGTATCTACTTAGTAGATCCGACACTTAGGATATACAGTGTTGTTGTTTTTTTTTTTGTATTGCTTTATATATATATATATATATATATATATATATATATATATATATATATATATATATATATATATATATATATATATATATATATATATATATATATATATATGATTAATTACTTTCTTACCTACTTAATCATCATTTACCTCTTGATTTCAAACAAAAAGGGTATGCAATCAATTTTTTGTAAAATTAACCATATCAATTAACCATATCACTTTGTGAGACATCATGAAATATAAAATTATTGATCATTCAAAATATGACAGGAACTATTATACATTTTAAAGAATTTTTGGAATGAATGTGTACCTTATTCTTGGCATCATATTTGATATTCAGAGTATTGCTATCACCTATGACAAAGTTTTCTCCATGGTGTATATGAATCTGATTAATATATGTTTCTGTGGATAAAAAAAAATGTTTAATTATTTATCAGTAATCTATATATGAAATATGGATTTGTATCGGTAAACGTACAATTGAACAGTGATAGAACACAAACATTACCTGTAATTGTTTTTTTGCCGTCATGTTCATCATCAGTGTCCAATGTGGCTTTCTGGGCATCTGCATTTAACAAACAGTTCAATTAAAGGAAAGTTTTTTTTTTTAACTTTTGAGAGTTACATTAAACAAGAGGCCAAAAGGCCTTAACATTCACCTGAGTATAATACAACACTGTAAATGATCCATAGAAGTATAGAACAACATTTACTGATAGATAAGCCTATTTTGTTGAAAAAAGTTCAAAAATCTGGTAAAAATACCATTGTTTGATGTAACGTACGAAACCCGAATGATCTCCTTGGGATAGTACTTAGTTTTCCAAATCTTACAGGGATGATAATGAATGCAAATTAGACAAATACAATGGACACTTGCTTAGTGTATAAAGTATGAAATATATACAGATATTATTTTTGTCACTTGCCTAGTGCTACAATTAAGTACATAAAGAGAAATCTCTAATGCCGGTATATTTACTTGAGGTGATGCCTCTTGGCTACGCAAACAACGTAGCTGCTTGCCACTTGGTACACTTGGTACCAACACTTTTCTCTTGGCTATACAAAAAACTTGATAATACTTGTTACCACCCCTCGCTACTTGTTAATACGACGTGACTATTTGTCACTTGTCAGTAACTACAACATGTCCCCTTGTCACCCTGGATTTCTTATCACTTGATCAATTTGATAAAGTATAAAACAACTCTAAGCACTTCGATAAAGCATAAAACAACTTTATGCAGACTCTTACTAACTAACCTCTGATCTCCATGAAATGCCCTGACAACAGCGCATCAATTGTCAAACAGGACACCACAGTATAAACATACTAAATACAACTGGCCATTTGCTATATAAATTATCTTTATATCAATCCTTATATTGCTTTCACAGCAAAACTCTGACCTTGATCATGCTTTGGTCATTAAAAACAAACATTAATTTTTATTTTCTTTCTATATATATATATATATATATATATATATATATATATATATATATATATATATATATATATATACATATATATATATATATATAACATTCTCTTGTATTCTCATTCAATCAAACTCGTTAATTAAATTAAATACGAGGGTATTTCTTGATTTAACATAATTTAGCAGAAGGGAGTCTCTCTCATTTCCTTCACTTATTACAATGTTGTACTCTGTTTCCCTCCTAGATACCAAGGAGTAGAGAAAGGGCATATTTACTTATATTTATACATTTACATTTTAATTGCTGCATTAAGTCTTTTTCCTTAATACTCAGAGGTAGAGGAGAAAAATATTTTCACAGCATTAATGCATTTTTGCTACATACTCAATAGAACCCATTCCAAATACCAGAATCATTGACAAAGGGACAAAAAATTTCACAATTTTTGAAAGAAGCACCCTTGCTCATCATAATTTTTCATTTAGTTTATTTGCTTAATACCAAAAATCAGAGAAGAGTTTAAAATCATTAATTTATTTTCGTATATTAAATACCCCCCCCCCCCCCTGCCTGAACCACTGATTTTTGAAAAGGAACACAACGCAAGGATGTTAAGGAAGCACTAAGATAATCTGACTTGACAAAATCATTGATACAATATGACGTCATAGTAGGCGAGATGACGTCAATTTTAGAACACAAAGTTTTCTAAATATTGTTATTTAGAGATATAATTTATCTCCTGAAAGTGAATAGAATCTTGCGAATATTAACAAAAATAAAATGTTTTTTATTTTGTTATTCTGTATCTCTCACTTGAATTAAAAACTCCGACAGATGACGTCATATCTGTTCAACAAGTAACTTGAGAATTGATCATGTTGTGTAACGAAAATATGGCTAAGACAGCATATAAAACATAGGTAATCAGAGATTACAAAGCTCATCTCAACGAATGTTGTCTTTAAGTAAGGCAAAGTCCCACATTAAACTAATAATCTAGGAGTGTGCATCCCTAGATGCAACATTTTTGTCACGGGGCCTCGGTTTTTAAGGTCTCATCCGAAGGACCCGCAACTTTCACTTCAAAGTGCCGAGCGCATGGCGAAGGAACAGTTGCTACCCATTTTTTATCGACTTAGGTCTGTCGCGGCCGAGATTCGAACTCATGACCCCCCGATCACGGAGCGAGCGCTCTACCGACTGAGCTACCGTGAACGGTGAAGTTTGGTTCAGATAGGCTTTACAGTTACTTAGGAATGAGATCTCCTCTAAAAACTTCAACTGGTCACTCATCCGGAAAATGTAGGTCAGATCCAGCATCCGAAGGAAGTCCAGTAGTGTGTATCCTTAGGTGTATCATCCATGCAAGTTTGGTCAATATAGGGTTTATAGTTACTTGGAAATGAGATCTTCTCCAAAATCTTTAACCTGCACCAAAAACCTTAACCTGCTCCAAATACATTAACCTGGTCATTCTTTGGCTGAAATTACAGCATCTGAAACCTTGACTGGTACAATGAAACACACTAGAAGCATCCTCCATGCATCTCTGATTGATATAGGGCATAGAAGTACTTGAAAAGAAAACTGCTCTAAAAACTTTAACCTGGGAAGCCGACGCCGTCGACACCGACATCGACGCCGAGGGTATTACATGAGCTCCCCCAACTTCGTTGAGGTGAGCTAAAAAGATACGAAAAAAAGGGTTTTGAAGCAAATACGGTGAACAATGTGTGAGATTCATGTGAAGTTTAAGTTTGTTAAACAGGTATGCTAATTCATTTTCATCGATTATATCTTATATTGAAGACAGTCAGCTATTTACCTATCCCGATAGGCCTTTCCTCTGTCATTCGTGACAACAATAATGCAAAAGAACAACACTAAGCTGGATACTTCAAAACATAATATTTGTACATATCGTAAGCTTGCGTTCTATAATACTTAGAAAGTGCTGCTAGAGTCCTGAGGTAAACTTGGTTGAAGAAGGTTATATGTATAAAATGCAAAACATTGGGTAGGGTTTCGTGCGAATATATGAAATAATTATTTTCTCGACCAGAAAGTGGGATTCTAGCGGTACTTTTAGGCATAAGAGATGTTTTTCAACTATATTATTTACTCAAAAAAATTATCAAACCCCGGGGTATTGTTGTTCTGTTAGCTTTTTTATTAAGGAATATTTTGCTATTAATAGCAGTCAGGTGATGACTTTGTGGTAGTGCACTTCTTGGCCTCAGACACTCTGTTGTCTTTATGCAATAGTTAATTATAGTTCACGTTTTATCGCCGACTTTGATAAATTATCAAACTTGATTTTTCCGTTATTTCCCGATCATGACAAGGAGCACACAGCGGGTGTGACCGGTCGGCAGGGGATGCTCACTCCTCCATGGCACCAGATCCCATCTCTGATGTTTTGGAGGTCCGTGTTTGCTCTGCTCCTATTTTGTATTGTTAAATGGACTTTTGAGCTTGAATACTGTTCGCTTTCTCCATATTTCACTCAATTCTTATTACAATCACGCCAACAGTTTGACTGCTTGATATGCAGGACTAAAGAAAAACCATTTTTAAAGATTGCATTTTTTTTATGGTTTTTGACCACCTCTCAGTGGGACAGGAGCCATGAATTGCACAATTTTTACTACACTTTACTCATAGATGCTAAATGCCAAAATTGGTTAAAATTGGTTCAGTGGTTCCAGAGAAGAACCGGAAAATGTTTAAATGTTAACGCACGTCGCTCGACGACGGACGAAAACAGATAGCAATAGGTAAACTGAGTAACTTTAGATGACCTAAAAACATACAATTTCATCTGAATGTCCGAATCCAAATGTTTGGATATCTATGCTTTTTTATCCTAAAAACATATTTGTTGATCAACTTTCAATTTGAAAATTATAGCCTCTTATTTGCCTTTCCTAAAAAATATTTGAGATTTCATAATTTTTCTTATACAACGCGGGCATGTTAAGGCTACTCCCAAATATTCTACTTGTCAATACAATATAGTGTCATAGAAAGCTGAACGACGATTCCTTGATATCTTTATTTAAAGTTTTATTTCAGGTCCAAAAAAATGAATGGAAACATGTAAAACATTATAAACTAAATCTTGTCATTTTTGGATGATATAAATAGCGAAGTAATTGTCAGGGGGGTTAAAAACCGACCTCATGACGTCATAAAATATTTGCCGACTAAAAATGAAACTAAAGAGAATTCATGTGACCAAATATATGAAATTGGAGTTTAAAAGTATATACCGTGAATATCATGTGTGATTCATAAGGAATTAAAGATTAAGAATCGGATACGCTTTTTCATTCTTATCATTTTTTTTATAATCAAGATAAACAGTGTTGTTTAATCCCAGTCAGTCTGTTGTTCTTAGCAACAAATATACAAATGTTCAACACTACGCCGCATACTTTAAAACAGATTTTATCGAAATATATGGAGATAACGAACAGTATTCAAGCTCAAAAGTCCATTAAACAGTACAAAATAGGAGCAGAGCAAACACGGACCTCTAAACATCAGAGGTAGGATCAGGTGCCATGGAGGTGTGAGCATCCCCTGCCGACCGGTCACACCCGCCGTGTGCTCTTTGTCATGATCGGGAAATAAACGGAAAAATCGGTCGACAATTCATTGTGTAAATAATGGTCTAACAATTAGTATGAAAAACGCCAGTCAGCATTTGACTCAATGATAAATTGTATTTGCTGACAACAAACAAAAGCTCATATTCTATAATACTTCGAAAATGTTGCTAGAAACGTATTGTTAACATTAATTGATAAAAGTGTTTTCAATGATAGGAGGATAGGATTCTAGCAGCACTATTCCTGACCCATTAATGTTTTACGCATTTATTTTTACAAAGAGAAATTTGTTATCCCCGGTGTAGTGTTGAACTAATAACTTTTTCATTAAGGCTATTTTTCCTTTTTATAGAAGTCAAGTAATGAAATCTTAATGGAGTGTTTCTTTTTACATAAGACTCAATAATGTCTATTATTATCATTCATATCATATTCATACATTTGTCTAAGGCATTATATTATTATAGTAACTAGTGAATTCCGTTCTCACTACGGAATTTACTACGTTCATTCATTGCCTTATTCATTCATTCATTCATTTATACGGGTGAGTGGTCAGTGAGAGTATGGGTGTGTGAGTGGTCAAACTGGTTTTACTCTGTCCCCTGCGCATTCGCGCCAATACTAATTCTCAAGCACTCCAACCTAAGACTTTGGGGAGAGAAGACGCTCTCTCTCCCCAACACAACTTTATCTCACGATAATTGTGAACTTCAGTCTCGGAATTACGGTAAGAAATAATTGGTAAATTATTTCTAAGGATTCAATTATTTTTCAATATCTATTTGATCATTTTATTCAAATCGAGTATTTTCTAAATTATCCAAATTTATAAAATTTAAATTATGATCCGCGTAAAAGTGTGAGTGAGGCGAGAGATATTTAATACCTGTTGTTATATTTCAGGTCACCCTTCCTTCTATGTTATAAAATTCCATAATCGTAGAATATATATTATATATAAACATCGAACCCAGCAGCCGTGTTGTGTTGTATTTTACCACATTTATAAGGCTGTGACACATATATAATAATAGTAATTGTTTTATCCCTGGCTTTTCCTGTTTATTAAAGCTATATTTACAAAAAAAGTATTAAATTCGCCGAATAATGATCTGTGTGCTTTCTTAACATACCTGCAAATATGATTAATTATAATGATGAAGTTATAATCTTTGAAGAAATACCATAGTTAAATACATGTGTCTTTGTTTACCGAATGACATTTTATGATTTTCACAGAGCTGAAACGAATGTTCGAATATTCGCGAATGAATAGTAAATGGCAAATATTGAATGAAAATTGAGCATTCGAATATTCGGTCTTATACGTAAATATATTATAGTATTAGTAAGGATTTAACGCTACGTTATCCTATCGATGATCCCAATGAACTATTGGCTCACTCTTGGAATTAGATTACCATTAGAAAGTACCAGAATATGATTAGAAATTTAAACTAATATGGAAATATTTTTCTTAATGTTAGTCCATTTTAATGTGCTCGGGATATTTTTTTTCATATAGAGTTTTATACAGTCCTACCAGTTTCATCGCCAATCGTGTCAATGGCCCGTCATTTCCATGCGTTTTTCTATCAATGGTTTCACTAATAATTCAAATGTCTACTGTTTGAATGTTTTTGTTAAAAAAAAATCCTAAAATCTAATTTCTTAAATAATATTTTTGTAAAAATATGATTATTTAAAAACTGATTTCTTGAAATAAGTGTCATTTTAGTAGCATGTTCAGTGATGTGTAACGTGGATACCCCGATGGCACACGTGGACTTTCGCTTTTCAACATCTTGTGTCATTCTTACTATCAAACTGTGAAAGGACTTTTCTGGTTTTCTTTTCATGAATAGAATTTATAAATTGAAGCATGCTAAGCTGGTTCAATAAACACAGAAAAATACACATTTTACACAATATGGGCAAATTTCTAATCTTGCGTCATAAAAAAGGTCTATCCAGTCAATAAGGCGAGTTCCTTGCAGCACCGAAAGAATATCTTCATACCTTCTGAAAAAGTTTCTTTCAGTTTGTTTCTCAAAAAGTTTTACTTGCAGAAGGATTAAAATTCGTTATTGATTATATCACGTAGCAATTTTTTTCTTTTAAAACGCTTGTGAAAACGAGACTGACGCAGGTTTTATCTTATCAAACACGACATAGATGACAATTTCATAAGAGAAATTAAAATCTAATTGTAAATGTTCAATTTTCAATTTGTTCTCAGGAAAAGCTGCACGCTTACCTGAAACAATCGGCACTTTAATGTCAAGTAACTAATCAATATAAATTATATTATTATATAAGCACACAAAATACCGATGGTCACGCAAATGGTGTAGGTATTAAAACATTTAAAAAGATACACTTTACATAAGACATCGACGAATATTCGAATACGAATGCAATACTAGTCCCGAATATTCGAATATTGATTTTTAGTATTCGTTTCAGCTCTACATTTACAATAACCTCACTTCTGATTTTCAGAACCTTAATTTCAATCAACTGTAAGATACATTTGATTTGGTAGAATTTTTCTTCCACGCACAAATTATGCACTCTTAAGAAGACATAGAAAACAGATGTGTAAAACAAAAGTGTCAGAAAAGTGTTGCTTTTTTCGATTTTAGCTCTCCTGGTCAGATACTAGAAGAGTTAGTGCGATGGTATGGTGCCCGTCGTCTGTCTTTCAATGTAATTTTTATACGGTACCAATTTTGTTGCGCCAGATGCACATTTCGTCAAATTATCTCTTTAGTGATGCTCATACCGAAACGTTGAAAAAAAATCCGAAAGATTAAGAATTGTATTTGCTGACAAGATCCTCTAGAGCATCGTCCCGATTGTGTCAATGAGCACACTGCGACTGTGATTGGTTATTGTTCATCACCTCCATATTTCATTCAATAGAATTTTGCATACCAATAGTCTACACTAATGTACATAATGACGTTCATCATTTTTTCATTGCGATGTACAGTGTTGCCATTTTCATTAGAAATAAAAAAAATAATCTGTGAAATACTTTCAAAACACTACTCCTTCTACAGTTTTGCTACTTCTCATTCAGTTCTGGTCTGATTACAATAAATATTTATGGGCTGTTTAGAAGGGAGACATCATCAATTAACAGGTCTGAGTATGGTTGTCATCTATCCAGGGCGCTTGCACGTGAGGAAGAAATTACAAATTGTATCCCACCGCGTGATATCATCTAAATCAATCAGAATGACTGTATAATTCTGAACGATAATAATATAGGTTGGAACACAAGTACAGACCCTGAAACGTGCTACTACCACAAAAAAGTGTGACAGTCGTGCGCGTTTCGCTCAAAACGTGAAGCGTTTTATTTAAACCCTGCAGCGTTTCGTGCAAACCATGCAGTGTTTCGTGTAAACCGTGCAGCGTTTCGTGTAAGCTCCAAAATGTTTCGTGCAAACCGTTTAGCGAGCGTGCAAAGAAGCGCAGCGGGAACTGAAAACTTAATCTGCTATTATCTCTCGTCAATCGTGGCTAAAATGACACCAAAGAATAAAGATTGAATTTAATTTGTGAAATTAAATGGTTTTATTAGTATTAACTGATGACTCATTTTTAAGAATAGACGCAAGTGAAAAATCACTGAGGGAATGGATGAAATTAATCGAAAAGCTTTGTTGTAAGATTACCATGAATGTCTTTTTCTTATCAAGTATCCGAATATGAAACAGATGTGTCAGACGGAGACAAAATATCCAGTTTTAATCCAATAATAATCGACATATAAAGACCATAACAAGTAACAAGAAATATAACTACATACGCAAACTGCTTCTTAGCCGGCATTTTTGTTTACGATAACAACGCTTCGACCGGCATTGCGAGCTCGAATTAACTATTACTCCCGGACGGAGAAGTAATGCGGAAAATTTTAAGGCGTCATGTGATTAGTTTTTATCCAATCTGTAATCTACAATTTTTTCTTAAGCGAGACAAGTGTATGTATGAGAAGGTGTCTCGGTGCCGGGTTTGTATGTATATGTTTTTTTTAATTTCATGTATAAAGCTCATTTAAAAATAAAGCATTAACAAAAGAACATTGAAATGCATTAGATATGAAGATGAAACGTTACAAGTTCCAGAAATTGATTGATAAGAACTGAGAATTTTTCACTTATATGGAGACGCCACCACTATCCGATGGAGAGCTGGAAATTTTGACCTATACTCGGCACTTAGGGCCATTGAGCAGTGAGGGATCCTTTTTGTGCCAGCACCTACCGCGACACAGGACCTCGGTTTATATGGTCTTATCCGAGGGATCGGTCTCCATGTCCTACAGTGGGATTCGAACCAGCGACGTAAGGATCAACTCCTTACTGCGAGACTCTAGAGCGAACGCTCTAACCACTGCGCCAAGCGGGCCGATTTATTTTGTAAAACAAATGCAGTTAGTGTGCCATTTTTGTTGATCTTAATATATGTATAGCTTATTTGTAAACATTTTTTTTAAAGAAAACGTTTATTTTTTGTTTCGAAATAAATTTATATCATATTAGTGATCAAAAACTGTTTTCTTGTGGACATACTTTAAATTTATTACAATTATTGCAGCCGATTTGATGCTTTGCATCGATTTTAATTTGCTTATACATTTTATGGTAATAAGGTTTCAGGATTAAGTAGATAGTGGAGACTATTTCTGTCTTACCTGCAATTAATTGAACAATTTCTCGACAAACAGTAGCACCATTTTCAGTTTCTACCACAACAAAGTAGGATCCTTCATCCTGTAAATCAACGTTCTTAATCGTCAAAAATAGTTTGTTTTCATTTTCCTGAAATTCAAACTTGTCTTCTGCTTCTTCACTAGGGTATAAAACTATGTACTTCCCCTTTAATTTTCTTAACCAAAGATGATGGCGGATTGCAACATCAGATTTGGCCTCTAATGTCAATTTGGTACTAATTTTCCCTGAGCTGGAGTTTTTCAAGGACACTGAAGGGATTCCTTTAAACAAATAAATGAAAAATGAAAAACAAATTGATTGAAACAACACACAACAAACTCAAAAAACTCAAAAAGAACAAAGTTTTCCTTATATACAACCTCGGTTCTTTTCTGGAAATTCTTCGGTCTGTGTCCAGAGAAAGAAAATGTCCTTTCTTAAATCTTTACAACACTTATCTAGATTACGTGAAACCTGTAAAAATCATATATATAATTCATAATAATGATAACAATGCCCTTTTTAAAGGAGTAATTAAAGAAAAATCGCTATACCATTTTAAGATCTCTGTTTATATTCCTTAAAGCAGTTTGGTCCTTTTCATCGTTAGCTTTACTTTTTCTTTGTAAATCATTTAATTTTCGTCCAATATCTACTAGATCGTCTAGCCAAGCCGAATCTGTTTTGTTATAAATGCCCTCTCGTGTTCTAGTATCAGCTGTAAAATTCAAGAAAGACACTCAAATAATGTAAGAGGTGAAGATAACAAACAGTGATCGATCTAAAAAAAATCTATAAACAATACAAATATGTATAAAAGGGCATAAACACAGATAACAATCTACATTATACAGACTTTCCAAGCAAAAAGGGTTAAACTTATTTTGTATCTTTTATAAAACCAATAATTGATTCTTATCATTAAAATTATTCAGTTATAAAATCCTTAATAAGTAGATGTTCAATTTATATCTATTATATTCATATTTAAACTTTTGTTTTAGACTGTACATAGTATAAATGTATTTTTAAATTTAATTATAATCACATGAAAACTAACAATTGAAATCATTGCAACAAACGGGCAAAATTAAGTTGATCAGTTATTAATTCAATTCACAAAAACAATTTATACAGAATAGAGAAAATTATAATTATTAAAATGAAATGCTGTGGCCTTCAAGTCGACATTTAGAGGTATATCGACACGTATTATCATTTAACAATAGATATTTCCATTCATATGTCATAATTTAGTTGACCAGTTATTGATTCATTTCACAAACACAATATATATACAAAGTACAGAAAATTATCATTATTAACATGAAAAATATCGACCGATGAACTTACGAAATAATGACTTTAAGCGAGACTGTTGATATTCTTTTATATCAACCTGTTTGTCAATAACTTATCTCGTTTTAGAAATTGTTCATACATAGAGCATGCTCTTGCATATCAAATCAATTGAGAGATATAAACCCCATATGCAGATGATATGGGTATATTTCCCAATAAGTATAGGAAGTTGACGATTGAAAAGTTAAAGTCATTACGTTTATCAGGCCAACATAAAAAATACTTTGTTTCCCCTAACACGACCGACCCACTTTAATCGTGCCGACTGAAAAGTTTTTTTTAAATAAGATTATTTAAATATTTTTTTTTTATTGTTTATCAAATTTATAAAATATAATTTATTCAAAATCGTATTTTATTATTATTTTTGGGGGGGGGGGGGGGGGTGCAGCTCTAATCTTACCTGTTACCTATGTTGAATTACTATGAGTGATTGTGTTGTGTTTTCCTAGCCTAAATATATGGCTGAGTCTAATGAATATATGGATCAAAGTATTAATTCAAGCTTATTTGAATCCTTTTCTGGACTTACACAATCATTTGATGGAGATGAAAATATCACTACTACTGATGTGAGTATATTACATTTTCTAAATGTGACATATAACAAATACAATATAACTGTGTCCTTCCAACAAGAAAAATACGTAACTATTTTGAACTATTGAAAAGAGGAACTAAAAACAATTAAAGAAGTAAGGAAAAATGGACAAATTTTCAAGTCTGATTGTGATTCTGTGACTGCCATACTCTATGCTGGGACTAGCGTCTTACACATTCAAGGTTCGTCAGCAAATACCTGGCTTGACAAATTCATTCACGACATCAAGAGCAAAGACACTAACAATATCAGTAATGTTCTGGGACAATCATCACCACAAATGGCATCAACTCCAGTTAAAAGTGCTTCTCTTGTGTCGACCAGTGAGTCAAGTGATGTACAAAATTGTACACAGTGTGCGAGTACAATTCAATCTCTACAACTGGCTATCTGTAATTTAGCTAAAGAATTAAAAAATTAAAAGAAAAACTAAAATGTCAAAAAGAAGAGAAGACGATCACAACAAACCAATACTTATTGACAAAAACACTCAGACATCAATCAAGGTTGTGAAAAACAAGGAAACAGACGTACATGGTTTAAAATCTGCACCAACAAATTCCATATCTAGACACACTCAGTGCGAACATTCTTTACCGGAAAAGAAAACAAAATGCACAGCTGATTTTGGTACAAACACTGAACCACACAACCACCCAATACATACACCCGCAAGATCCATGATTGAAGAAAAGGACAAATCTGGTGACACAAAACTTATAATTGGCAGTTGAATCCTACATCGGGTAAGAACCAGAGGACTACAAAAGGGTGTTCATGTAAGAACAAATAGAGGGGCTAAACTTTCCCACATCAATGCTAAACTTCTCAAAATAAATGTAGCAGAATACTCCCACATCATTATCCAAGCCGGCGGAAATGATGCCTCATCTCATCGAGACATGGACGGCATTGAACATGATGCCGCGGAAATCATCTCCTTCCGAAGTATTACCAAGACGGGATGTGGATGTATCTCATGTGAATACCACACTTAAATATGTATGTGATGAATATGGAGGTGTCTTTATTTCCAACAAAAGTGAATTCAAAGAGGTAAACCGTGTGCATTATTGGAAAGACGGTATTCATCTTTCAGATAAGGGGACGTCAATGCTACTTAAATGGATTAACAGCGAAGTTTCAACTCTGCGTGTGAATTCCGGTCGAATCAGTACGGACTCCAATGCAAGCTTTTACCAGTCTGTGACTTGCTACTTCTGTAGTGAACACGGACACACATCACGCCACTGTAGACATGGACGAAAGCTTGACTGCTGGAACTGCGGTGAATTAGGACACAACACGAAATCCTTTCCATACATGTACTAGGTTTCAGCCAATGAATGTGTAGCCGTCCACAACCAAGCTAAATCTTTACCAAACTCTAGTATATTTTCTATTCTTAGTATTTTATGTAATAAATGTAACAATTTTCAATGTTCATGTGACGAACATACTGATAACAGTAATAACTCTACAAATTTTAAATTGTCAAGAAAACCACATGTTAAACGAAAGACTCAATTGAACACAGATTCTAAAAGTAATCAGAGCTCAGCTATACAAACTACTGTCATTTCTCCTATGCCTAGCTCATTCAAATCTGTTTCACAAGTAAATAACCAAGTTCCTTTGACCCATAAATGAAATTCAAACAACACAAAATAACCAAGGATTTGGGTTGGTAAAAAAGGTTTACGATTCGGAAATTTAAATATTTCTCATATTATTCCAAAAATTGATGAAATAAAACAACTGCTCCAAAATAGACAAACTTTAGATATTTTAGGTGTATGCGAAACATTTTTGACCGAGCAGATAGGCAACTCTGAATTGAATATTGAGGGCTTCGTTTTTGAAAGAAAAGATCGTGTACTAAAGGCAGGTGGTGGAATTTTAATATACATTTCAAATGATATTTCATATAAACGTAGAAATGATTTTGAAATCAGTAATATTGAGACAATCTGGCTAGAGATAAATTTACGAAATTCAAAACCTATATTCCATTGCTCTGCTTATCGTCCACCATCTGCCCCCTCCTGCTGGGCAGAAGACATAGCAAGGGAGGTTAACCGTGCCTCCTGCTGTGACGATACTGAAATAATTCTAGCAGGTGATTTTAATATTGATTTAATGAAAGACCCCCCACAATACTGGACATCTGCTTAAGAGGAGTTTGGACATTCACAGATAATTACTACCTACCCGAGTTACCAGTACCTCAAGTACCTTAATTGATCATTTTTATACAACCAAACCAGAAAACATATGTGAAACCAGTGTGCCCCCTATTGCTATATCTGACCACTACCCTGTATGTTTGACACGGAAAACTAACTGCATACAGCATAAGGGAAAACATACTGAAATCCAATGTCGAGATTTAAAAAAAATCAATGAAAATAAGTTTCTAAGAGATTTAGGAAATGCAAATTTTAACACTCTTCTTGAATTAAAAGACCCAAACTAAATATTGAATAAATTTTATGAATTATTTAATGATATTCTTAACAAACATGCCAAAGTAAAAACTAAAAGAGTCAAGACTGAAATTCGACCTAAATGGCTTACACAGGAAATAAATGATGCTAGACTTTTACGTGATACATACCATCTACAAAGGAATTCAGAAAATTACAAATTTTGGAGAAATAAAGTCACACAATTAATAGATCAAGCCAAATCAAAGTATTACAAATCAGCAGTTGAAGAAAGTTCAAGTCCTAAAGAAATGTGGAGATAATTAAACCATTTGGCATCCGATTCCAAACATTTTACACCTAACCGTATTACACAAAATGGTTTGGATTTTGAGAATTTACAGGATATTGTTGATATCTTTAACAAACACTTTACAGAAATATCCTGTAAGTTATTAGCAAATATATCAGTACAAAGTTTTGATTCAGAATTATTAAATCAATTTACAGAAACTAAACTAGGGAAAGAAATTTTTTACAGTATAAATCAAATAAGTGAGTTTGAAGTATTTAATATGTTGAATACACTTGAAGTGAACAAGTCGGCAGGCATTGACTTTATTGGACCTCGTCTACTAAAGCTTTCCGCAAATGTTATATGCAAATCCATTACACATCTTGTTAATGCTAGCATTACTAATGGTGTATTTCCATCCCGTTTAAAACAAGCAAAAGTCACTCCTATTTTCAAAAATGGCAACAACGCTGATCCAGGGAACTACAGACCCATATCCATTCTTCCAGCATGATCAAAATTTGTTGAAAAACACATAGCTAATCAAATACGTAACTTTACCTCTAGCTTTGATCTTTTATTTAAATCACAATCTGGGTTTTGAGAATTTCATTCATGTCAAACGGCTCTAACAAAACTAACGGATAATTGGTTACAAGCTATGGACCGAGGAAATCTAGTAGGCATAACTTTCCTTGATTTTAGCAAGGCATTTGATTTGGTTAATCATGATATCCTTCTAAGTAAACTTCAATCATATCACTTTGACCAAATGGCTATTAAATGGTTTCATTCTTATCTAACCTCAAGGTTTCAGTGTGTTAAAATAGGTACATATTCCTCTGATTTCTTGCCTGTCACAGCAGGAGTGCTCAAAGGATCTATCTTAGGTCCCCTATTATTTTTATTGTATATAAATGATCTCCCTTTACATGTAAATAGAACAGATATTGATATGTTTGCTGATGATGCAACCTTACATACACATCATAAAAATGTAGAAGGTATTGAGAATACCCTTAACTTTGATTTGT